TCCTCCTCCTCCTCCTCCTCCTCCTCCTCCTCCTCCTCCTCCTCCTCATCTTCATCACTTTCATGCTCAATATGGGGCTTCTCAATCCCCTTCCTGATGTTAAATGTGGCCCATGGCTACTGAAAGGTTTGTTTTTTTAGTTTTATAATTCAGTATCTTTAATAAACATAATTAAAGTAAGCATCACCCAAGCATTCAGTGGACTAAATAAAATGCAACTAAATTATACCTTATTTTCAGATAGCAAACACAATCATGTTTTTTTTTTATTTCCTGGCTCCATCCAGTGAAGGATACAGAAGGTGCTCAGGTTTCATGACCCTGCCCCTTTTTCTTGTCCAGCCTACAAACAGTCCTCCAGTTAAAGTCCTCCATTTATAGTCTTTCCCATCCTGGCTCTCGGAAAATTAACTGCAGGAAGACGGTAAGCATAGCTGCAGAAAGCAGTCAAAGGAGACCAGGGGCAATTGAGTCAGAATTACATCCATCTAGTTGTTTGGAAGAGAAGAAAATGTGGGTGGTTCTAGTAGAATATGGATAACTGTTCTTGCTCTAAATATTCATCTGAATACAAAAGCGAGAGATGCCTTTCACATTTCAGAAAGAGGGAGAGACTGAGAACTTAAGGCAAAGAAAAAGACAAGGCTAAAGAGTCTATGGAATGTGAAAGAGAAAAGGTACAGACAGTGTAATAAAGGAGAAATAGAACATTAAGGGAGCAAGAGACAATCTTTTGGTCCATGTGCGAATTTGGAATGTTGAAAACATTTAATGGGCACACTTGCAAAATGGCTGGCTTGGCAATCTCCCCTATGTACAAAGTCGGGCAAGACCAATCCCAATAAAACCCACGTCAGAAAGTAAACTGACCTTCTAGAAGTTCTAAGGCATTTTCATAGAATCCAAAAGCAGGATTTACTCAGTTAAAGGGGTCAGGAAAAATACTTATTTATTTATTTTTACTCCTTCTATTCAGGAGCTCATTCCTCATTTTCCCCCCAACAGGTTTGGTAGGAAACTTGAGGTGAGAGGGACTGTTTCAAATCATCCAGTGATTATATATTTACTACTTTTTGGGGTTATTTATTATGGTGTTTAGTATGAATACTATATTTTGTAATATGTTACATGTCATATGTAAATGTTATATATAAATTCCCTCCTTCATGACCAGCCTGCTTTCATCTTTCATTCTAAAGTTAGATTCTGTTTGTATCTAAAAGTCAAATATCAAAGTTGGATCATCTGTCTAATTACACCTTTTTATCAGTGGTGGGATTCAATTTTTTTTTACTACCAGTTCTGTGGGTATGGCTTGGTGGGCATGGCAGGAGAAAGATACTGTAAAATCTCCAGTCAGAGGTGGTATTTGCTGGTTCTCCGAACTACTCAAAATTTCCACTACCAGTTCTCCAGAACTGGTCAGAACCTGCTGAATACCACCTCTGCTTTTCGTTACTTTTGGTGCCTGAAATTTCCAGTATTGGCAACGTGGAGAAGATAAACAGAAAGGATGGAATATATTTTGGCTTGCAACAAATTGCACAAATTATGGAAATAATACAAATCGTTGCTCAGCATAGCTTTCTCAGTCTCAGGTCAGCAACTCAGACTGATTTTGTAGGAATTAAAATTTCTCTGAGATTAAGAAAATTATGTATTTGACCTCATAGGTTTCTTACTATAACCCCCAAACCCTCCAAGCTGCTAATTGTAAAGGTTCGGTTAAGACAGCAGGCTGGGGACTGACTGGTGATCTAGTCATGTCTTAGGTAGAAAGCCAACTGGGTTGGTCCCGCTATCTCAGCTCTAGGAATAAGGAGGCAGCGAGAAACCATTTCTAAAATCTCTTCAAGAAAACTGCACGATCAAATCCAGGTACCCCCCTGGAATTCAGGGTGATGCAAAGACACAAAACAAAAGAATTGAAAAGCATGATTTCATGAGCGTGGTATTGCAGATAGTTTATGACTGATTTCCGGTTTCTAGGATGTTGCAATATCTGAAGACTTCTGTTTCAAGAAGCAGAGTGCTTTCCATGGATCTCTCTGCCAGCATCACTCTTCTCTTGACTATTTTCTGCTACATGTGGAATATTGAATCTCAATGGTTTTCTTCCATGCTCAGTGTGCCAAATGCAGGTCCCTGGGGTGATTGGGGTCCAGCTTCATTTTGCTCTAATGGCTATGCTAATGGATTCTCCCTGAAGGTAAAAGTTTTCTTTTCTGATGCTCCTTTACTTCTAAATATTCTCTTGCAATTAATCCTTCAGCTTATCTTTCAAGAAAGGCAATCCAGAAGTAATTGTGTTGATGCTTTGTACTTTTGATTCTATAATTAAAGGAATGCATTGAGTTTGGAGTGGAATATTGTGCAGCAGATCTAATCTTCATCCAATTCATCGTCTAATAAAGTAAAGGTAAAGGTTCCCCTCGCACATGCATGCTAGTTGTTTCCGGCTCTAGTGGGTAGAGATCATCTCTGTTTTAAAGCCGAAGAGCCAGCACTGTCTGAAGACGTCTCCAGGGTCATGTGGCTGGCATGACTAATTGCCGAACACTGTTACCTTCCCACCAAAGTGGTCCCTATTTTTCTACTTGCATTTTTACATGCTTTTGAACTTTGTCTAATACTTAATATTAATTATTAATACTTATTATTATTAATAAAATTATTATTGATACTTATTATTAATACTTAGTATTACTTATTATTATTAACATTGTCTAATACTTATGGGTAAATGTTGGCATTTGTGAGAATTGAAATCTGAAGGACTGCAAGGGGAAAAAGGCTGATCAAGGTCATATTTTCTTAGGTGGAAAAAGCCCAATTGCTAGGTGACAATACAGCTGTGAATGGAATCCGCTTGTACTGTAATGATAGCACAGAAATTGAGTCTAGAGTTGGACCGTGAGTACCTGATTTTCTTATTATATTTCATTTTGTTGTCATGAAGACTGGGAAAGGAGATCACCAGATTCCTGGTCAACAGTAACTATATATCATTTGCAATACTTTTTACCTATTTATCAGATTATTTAATTAGTTTCATTGCAAATGAAGATATCAGCAATCAAAATGCCCCAAATCAGGATTAGGGCAGCATTGGACATATGAGATGTTCTTTCAACTTTTTTTAATTGCACAATCCTTTCTCCCCAAATAAAACATGGGAAAGGATCACATGGCAGCCAGAAGAAGAACTCTGTTTTCCTGTTTAACCATGTTTAAAGTAACAAGGGAAACTGAGATAGAACTCAGACTTCCAATACGAAGATGAGGCACTGAATTTCCACAGGGGACTTGCGAGCTGAATAATGACTCACTTCTTCACTAGTGGATAATTCATTCATTCAAGAGTAATAGAAGGAAAAAAGCAGGGGAAATGGTGCTTAGAACAGTGCAAGATGATCTGCAATATGAGAAGTCTCTGCTATAATGGAGTTTGAACATGACATGAATTAGGAGAAGTCTTGGGGAAAAGATCAAGGGAAGAATCCTAGAGGTTTATGCTAGCTGTCAAAAGACCTCATTCCTCCATTTTTTTTCCTACCAAAGAATTAGGTTTACTATCAAATTTTGACCCAGAATTATGTAACAAAAGCAAAAACTAGATATTTGCTTGATTCCTAGCTCAAGAGTTTAGCCATTGTGCCTGAATCTCTTGGATTGATGACAAGTGTTTAATTTAGACACTAAAGAAATGCTTATCTATCTTTGTCTTTTTTTAGCAGGTGGGGAACCTGGACCACACAATTATTCTGTCCTAAAGGCTACCTGGTTTCTTTTTCTCTGAAAGTGGAATCACATCAAAAAATACTTGATGATACAGCAGTTAACAACATTCAGTTCAAATGCAGTGGTGGTGCTAACCTGATAGGCTTTGGCACTAAATGGGGTCAATTTGGCCCATGGAGCGATAGCTGCTCAGTTGGTATATGTGGGTTTATAACAAGGGTGCAGGATAAACAGGGCATTGGTGATGATGACACAGCACTCAATGATGTGCTTTTTTACTGCTGTTAATGGTTGATACCTGTTTGCTAACTTATAAGTATATTTTTGCTTTACATCCACAAAGACTGTTAATTATAGTTAAATATTAACTTGAGAATAAAGCTATGCAAACTATCATACCATATTGCTGCTTGATTGCATGCAAATAAAATTAATGTTGTATCTTGAAATTTGTTTCTTTATTTTTCAGTAAGCCAGGTTTAGGTCACAATAATACATATGTATTTCTTAGGGTTTATTTAGTCTTGTACTTTGCATTTCACTACAGAGAACAAAGAAATATTAGAGAAAATATGCAACAACTGGGTCAGGATTAGTTAAGAACGAAAGAAAAGTGATGCTAAAATGTTTTGAGTTCTTTATGAGATATTGAAGATGATCTATAAGAGTATTTTCTTCTTAGAAAATGTGGTATCTAAGTCAAGGGTCTTCAAACTTGGCAAGTTTAAGATTTGTGGACTTCAACTCCCAGAATTCCTGAACTAATATGACTGGAGGAGGAATTCTAGGAGTTGAACTCCACAAGTCTTAAAGATGTCAAATTTGAAGACCCCTGATCTAAATAATGTTCTAGCAGACATGTATGCTATATTGTCAACTTTTTAGTATATTAAGCCACCGCTTAAGGTATAAGGTATAAGAATTATTCCAGGTTATCACCTTAAAATACTGTATACTATAAATTGCACCTTTATAAATGTGGTGGTGTTCCTTTTTTTAAAGGAGTTTCCTCTAACTAATTTTCTCATCCTGCTCAGAAGACCATCAGAATTGAAGGTGTCTTATATCATGGTATAGATTTGTTGGAAGAAATATCCTTCTGGGTTCTGTTCCAAGTGGGGAAAAGGAAATTGGAAACATGGAGGCTGTTTGGAAAGATGGTTTAATGGTGGACAGCAGGACCACATGGCTTGGAGCTCCAAAGTGAAAAGGACGATTACATACTTCACAATGTTGGATGAAAGAAAAGAAGGGGCAAGATGCTGAGACACCCTTAGTTTTATACCCTCTATTCGGCCCCACCTTAGTGTTTCATGTTCCTGTATAAGAAATGTATCCCATTGGCTGTCAGACTCCCAGGGGCGGGATTTTTTTAGCTAACTTTGTAGGCTTTGTCTGGACCATATAGCTTTACCTGAGTGCTGGCTGATGCAATCTTCCCAGGCCATATGATGAGATTGGTAGAGGACTTTGTTATGTAGAATACTCTGGCCCAGGCCTTAATGACCCATCCATTAACAAAGGTGGGGGTGAGCTTCTGCTTCTGAGGTGAGTTTCTGCTTCTGAGTTTCTACTTCTCTTTTAGGGGAAATATTCTGCTTTTTTAGTATATCCTAAGAATATTTCATTTTCCTAGGAGAGAGGCGGGTTTTAACTTCCAACAGATGTGAAATACATTTAATTCAAGACAAACTAACAAATCTCACCTGAAGAAACATTACTTGTAACATCCTATCAAAGAGGGGAACACATTTTATAGTGTAGGAATCTTTTGATTGAAAGCACAGATTTTGAGATTGTAATAATACATCATTATAAATCAGATCTGGAAAACAATACAAGAGTAAAGAGAGGGAAGTTTGGTATAATGGTTAAGGCATCAGGCTAGAAACCTGGAGATTGTGAGTTCTATCTTAGGTATGAAGCGAGTAGGTGACCTTGAGCCCGTCCTACTCTTTCAGCCCTGGGAAAGAGGCCATAATGGCAAACCACCTCCAAAAACTTGCCAAGAAAACTGCAGAGACCCGTTCAGGCAGTTGGCAAAAATCAAAAATCGTTTTAAAGAAGTTGGAAGAAATCTCCTTGGTTTGTTACCCAGCTGGGAAAGCAGTCACCGGCACTGAGAAGAAATTGACACATAAGCAAGCTGCCAGAAAGCGGAACTCTTTAATTCAGGAAAGCAAGAGGAAGGAGTGACACAGCTCAACTGTTCCTGGCTAGCCAGCAGATTGGGGAGGCAAGCTGATTTTCCTTTGAAGCTCCTAGAGTTTGGTGGGATTTGTTGTGCCTCTAGCTGAAGTGATTGCCCTGGCTTTTTGTTTTCTTGCTTTACTGGGTTAATCCTGGACCAAGGTCTTTTGTTTTTTTCCCCTATCCTAGGGGTTAATCCTGTCAGGGAGGCAGGAAAGAATAGTTCTGGTGTGCTTTAGAGAGTTATTTTTAGCCTGATTCCACTTATCCATATGGCCATATTCAGGTGTTTCAAGGCTGCTTTTTGTGGTCAGGTTTTGTTATTTCTTATAATAGCCTTTAATGGCTTTTGGTAACATGCCCAGACTTTCAATTAGTCTGAGGGCTGCTCTTTCAATTGGGACTTTCTTAAAGGGGAAGGGCTGTTTTAGTTCTTGACACTTCTTTAGTGGTTCCTGGCACAGTCCTTTGGGGTATACTTTTCAATCCTTCCCCTTCCCATTCCTTATTAACAAAATAATAGCACACACTCCCGGCCCCACTTACTTCTGCAGCCTCTTCACTTGCCATCAAAATGTTTTGATGATTGTCTACACCTCATGGCTAGGCTGGGCTTTTTTTTTTTGCAGAAGTTGATACAATCCAAACACAATGATTTTTGTGACAAGACATCAGGACATGTTCTCTTCAGGCCATAAGCTACACTAAATATGGCAAATTGACTTACCATGATAAAAATAAGTTTCCATGAAATTATTACTTTCACCATGAGATAGTTGAGCAATTTGTTCTGACAGTTAATTTTTAGAATTCATTTCAGCAATTAGTTTCAGCAATTTGTTTAAAAAAACATAGTTGAACACTTAGCTTTAGTAGTTGTTTTAGATCTGCCTAGATAATCCACTTCAAAACTGAATAAATGTAGAGTTAATAGAATAGTTTCTTGGTTAACTCCTCTGGAGGAAAAGACCTGCATAGACATCGTACTTTGAGAGCAAGATATGCAAATTGTTGAACTAAATGGCAATGGTGCCAACATTAGCAATAGTAACAGCACTTAGACTTATATACCACATCACAGTGCTTTACAGTCCTTTCAAAGCAGTTTATAGAGTTAGCATATTGCCCCTAACGATTTTTCCCTATTTCCTCCAATTTTTTCTCTATTTATTTTCAGTCATGCTATCTGTCCAAACTCCTCTATCTCTTTTAATAATTTGGAAATTGTCTCTAACAGATCTATGATAAATGCCAAATCATCTGCAAATGCTTGTAGTTTATATCTTTTGTCTCTTATCTCCATTCGAATTGGACTCTCTTAAGAAGATTGATGGAGATGGGAAAATTATACCCAACTGGAAAACAATTTGGAGTGGACTTTTCTAGAAAGATGGATCGATTTTCAAAAATACATTTATTATATCTAACCAGATAAGAGATTTTTCATTTTGGTTTACAAAAACACAGTCTCAAACAATGGGTAGAGTGGAGATATTTACAGCAGAGGTTTAGGATATTGGAAGATAAGATAAAATTGTTGGTGAAAATTCCCAATAAAATGTTTAAGGAAAAGTTTTATTACTAAGAACCAAATATTTGAGCCTGGGTGGATCAGAGATGATTGTGATGATTTTTGGCAGAAAAGTAGTTGCTGTAGACTTTCTACAAGTTAAATACAATAACAGTAATCTGTTATTGTATTTAACAGGAGGCTTTGAAGTTTAACTTTGTAAATAAATAGGCATCACTTCTGGTAAGAGCATTCTGTGTGCCTTGGCACATAGCCATATTGGTCATATGACCACAGAAATGTCTTCAAACAAAGCTGGTTCCCCCAGCTAAGAAAAAAGAAATGAGCACCACCACCCCAGAGTGAGACATGACTGGATAGAGGAAACCATTTCCTTTTTAATTCACCAAATCCTATATTGGAGCAACTTACAGAGGAAGCATGTTGAAGCCCTCACACAGAACATATGGTATTACAGTAATCTAAATATGTATGAACAAATATAACTAGTTGTCTTGTCCAAGAGAGGGCACCATTGATCCAACCAAAATTAGCAATATGTACTCCTCTTACTTCTCACTTGGGTTTCCAGTAACATGACTGTAGATGTTCCCTCAATAATTTAGCCATGATCATTTGTACTGAAAGTATGTATCCAATAGTATTTTAATTAAGGACATTAGCGGACCTCGCCCGAGCGCGAGACAAACGCTGAAGAAAAAGAAGAAGAAGAAGAAGTATTTTAATTAAGTGTGTCAGGTCCTGTGCTGTGTTCTTTACTTTTGTTTTGTAGCCTTTATACAAAATGGCTCTAAATTCTTCATTAGACATATTAAAACCATGGTTTTCTTCTGTGATAGGGCACATTTCTAACTAGCATTGATTCTTAGATGGCAATCATAATGTAGATGTATCTTCATTTAAGGCACTGAGAGCATCTTGACTTGTTTTGATTTTACCAAGGTGAGGGATGAGATTAAATTGGTGTCCTGAAATGTGAGAGTTCAACAGGGCAACACTAATTGTTTATACAACTTAGCTCATAGTAAATTTATAGAGCTATTTTCTATGTCCAATTCCAGACTCAGAAAAACAAGGGGAATAGACAGAGCAATGGCTCATTTAAAATATATCAGATTAGAAAGCAAGATGTTCCAATGTTGTCATTCCTTTTCCTCCTGGTTTGATGTAATTTGATTTGATAATCATGAACCTTCAAGGAGAAGACCCTGAAGAATGAAGTTTGTTTATGTGCATTGCATATATTTAATTTCTCCCATTATGCATTCTGTCTTAAGCCGTAGGATAATATATGAAGCAGGCCACTGTATTTTAAAAACATGTTTTAAGGCTTAATGAAAATTAACTTACCCAACTTTCTTTAATTGACAAATTGAATGAAACCATGGCTAAATACCATATTTGAATACTCCCAATGCTGGTCCCAAGTGAGCTTTGTGATTAACAGATCCTCCCATTAACATTCTCTAATACAAGCGTATACAAGCAGTATTAAATCCCTTCTCCGATTATTTTTTTGCCATGGCTATAAAGTTATACCAGGTGGAGACCACAATCCCATGGGAAT